CAGACTAGAATTATGGTATATAAAATTATATATCTCAAACAGCTTGCACTTGCCAGTTTTGAGCTTAATTATACAGGTGCACAGATTAGGCAAGGGGTAGGTAACATTTAGCACTCCAGATATTGTAGACTACATCTCCCCTGATGCTTTACCAGCATTATGGGTGTAAGAGCATTATGGTAGATGTAGTCTACATCATCTGGAGTCCTCGAAGGTTGCCTATCCTTGCCTAGGCCATCACAAACCATTGCCAAGTGAGCAATCTTCGGACTTACTTTATTGAGTGATACAGTAACATATTGTAATTGTTGTTTAGGTTACAGAAGATACAGTTTAGGTTATGTGTATTGTTTTGGCCAAATAACAGTGGAGAAAGGACATTTTATATAAGTGCAATGGTTCATTTGTTTTATTTTTTTGTTGAAAGTCTAGGGATGTACATTAAACAAAGTGTAGGAGACATTCAGTAAAAAAAACAAAACAATTGTATAAAAACGATAACAGTTGCTGCAGTCTGCACTAGTGCAAGAGCCAACTAAAATAGTTTAAGGAAAGAATTGGAAAGCGCTATATGGGTTAAGCCATGCATTGGGATTGAGTTTGTCATAGAATTTATCCTAAATCAGGGGTCAGCAACCTATGGCACTCGAGGTGCCTTTGAGGCTGCCAGAGCCAAAGGAGTCCCTAGTGCAAACTGAGTGGTGATTGCAGGTGGTAATCCTCAATTAACACATTTCAGCAATTAGAGGAAGTGAGGCCTCTACCTCATACAAATAATACAAAAAGACCACACACAAACACACACAGTCCCCACAAACAACACCACTGACAATCCACATACACAACTCCAGAAGCAGCCCCACACATACACAAACCAAACACAGTTACATATCATGTACACACACACACAAATTCCACAAGCAGCCCCTATACCACAAACATCTCATGAATGTATATTGTACACATACTCACAAATACATTACAAAGCAACTACAGCACCCAGAAATAACACAAGCATTAAATGGCAACATCCACAGTTCAATTAAAAAAAAGAAAATAGGACAGGCACGCCATGGGACTTCAGAATCTTGATTTGACACAGTACGACTAAAGGTTTGCCTACCCCTGTCCGCCCCTGTCCGAACTTAAGAGGAAAAAGACATACCTGTCCTCATCATTCATAGGAATCGTAATCATCAGAAGTCCTTGGAGACACAGAAGGCTGGAGACCCCCCAGCACAATAACGTATACAGTCCTGACAACCTGGGGAACCAAGAGTTTTAAAATAGATATTGTAGCATCAGGAATTGGGCTACATCAATTTAATAAGAAAACCAAGTGGAGCGCAGACAGAAAAAATGTATTAAAAAAAATGAAGATTATTAAAAATATTAGAATTGGAGCTGCAGTTAACAAATAGGGAAACCCAATAACCTATTCGACAATACAAATGCAATAAAATAAAGTTAACCATGCTTCCTATAATTAATGCAGATAAGAATTACATTCAGTAAATTAAAAATAATGTTCAAACCTAAATAATTTTACAGAGTATGAGTCAGAAGGATGTTATTGCACCAACGACTAATACGCTAAGTGTTACAGAAAAGGCAATGGGGGCCCCGTATAATGATAATTGCAGAAATCACAACTTACCCCGCAGTATTTATTGGCTATGCGGTAAGTGGGCTTATAGAGTATTACCCTGCAACTGGAAAGGAAGCGGTTATCTAGGGCGAGTATTGCCTGCCTTTACAATAAGAAATGATCCACCTAAGGGAAGACTGAGAAATCGAAGAGATGTGAATATTAAAACCACTACAACTAGAAACATAATTCGTTCCATTTTTTTCCCCAGGTAGGAGTGGGATTGGCTTTAACTAAGATAAATCAAGTAGCCGAAGTATTAGATAATGCCTTGAATTATTCTAATGATGCCATCTCCAAATTAAATTAGAATTATGGTCTTCGAACAGAATGGCCTTGGGTTATTTTTTAGCATCAAAAGGAGGAGTGTGTGTCTTAATTAAGAGCAATGATGTGTATTCATCAAAGACAGAAGTGGAAACATCTATAATCGGTTAATGATAAATGGGATCTATTAAATCTTGAAGGATTGCGGAGTTCACTTGCAGCAAATCTGGTGACTGGTGTGATTGTAGCTTTGTTTGTTATTTTATGTGTATGTTTTCTTTCTTCTAATTAAGGCGCTGATTGTAAAGTGTACTGGCACTAGCCATGCATTGCCTTTGTTGGAAAGTGAAGAATTCCCTAATTTAAAAGACCGCGAAACTCTGCATAATGCAATGTATGAAGATTCACATGAACAGAAATCAATGAACACAAGGATCACTTTGCAATAAACTCCATCTGGTCACGGAACAGATTCATTAACAGGATCTGTTCAGAATAAAAAGGGAGGACTGTGAATGTTGAGAAAGTGTCTTAGCTCCACAGCCGCCATCTTATTCTTATATCAGCCACGTTTGCCCTCTGTGTGACTTTGTGTGCTTGAAGGGTTAAGTATGCACATGTCTGGGCTCTTTGCTCCAAGCATTTTTATAGGAAACTGGTTTATCTATTCAATGATCAGAATGGAACTAGATAAAGGTGGGTTATCACGTTCGGGTAAATGGTCAGAAGTGATTAATTCAGAAGTAGACGGAACTGACCATAGCAGGATGAGTAGATTTAGAGGCAATCTGGAAACAAAGAAAAAACGGAGTCCTGCGCATCCAGTGTAGTTGTGCCCACCCAGGTGCTAAGGCAATTTATTAGAGGATACAGTACAGATAGCAGACATATCGGGCACAAGCCCTTTCTCAATGCTAATGGACATGCTATCTGTACTGTGTCCTCTAATAAATTGCAGTAGCACCTGGGTGTGCACAACTACACTGGATGCGCAGGACTCTTTTTTTTTTGTTTGCGGTTCTACACTGCTGGGACTAGTGTGGAGCTCCTGCAGCTCAGGTCTAATCCCTTTTGTCATTATGCTGTTCCAGGCACGTAAGCTGTGTTGTTTAACGGTATATAAGATTTATGTTTTTCATATAGAGGGAGGGCAGTCTTCTTTGACACTCCTTGTGCACAAGAAATAAAGGAGTCTCTGCTTTTTCAACTCTTGTGTTAAGAACCTGTGTTTTACGTTATTGAGTATTTCACAGAAGTAAGATTAGAGATTGCTCGTATGAGTGGATACATTGTTATATTTTAGCTGCAGAAACATTAGGCTTTTATTTTATAAGACAATACGTTGAAAGAAAAAATGCAGATGAGATATAAAATCCCAATCACAAATGAGGCTGCAACACCGCGTTTTGTAGTATGGTTGGTATCAGGTAGATTCTTAGTGCATAGATAGGCATCGTGAGATCATATTGTTAATAGGGCTTAGATCCTGGTGCTAAACTTTTCCCAATCATAGAAAATATCTCACATTATAAATACAATAGTCCACACACAGGGTTGAGTCCCTATTGTTCATAGAAAAAAAAATGAAATGGAGGATATGGAAAGTATGAAAAAAGTGCACATTTATTGGTATAAAAAAATAAAAAATAAAAAGGACATAAACAAATGGCATTAGATTGTCATGGCAGCCCTTATTAGGTACTCCGGGGTCCACACAGGCATAATATATTATATAGATGACATAGCATAGCAAAATAGCATAGATATCCAAGCAAAAGAAACAAGCTTTGCAAAAATAGGACAGATGAACGAGAGGAATAACAAATTGTCGCAATACCTGCTACTGCCAGACAACGGAGAGACCACCCACATCACTACCCGAAAAACCAGTGATGCAAGTACCCTGGACGAGTTTCGCAACTCCCTGGTGCTTTCTCAACATCTTATTTTATAACCTTCATATATTATACGTCAAGTGATTTCAGATTTCCAACTACATTTATAATTACCTGCGTGAGGGGGTCGGACTGAGTAGTTGAACAACTTCCAAAGAGTAAAAGAAGAAGGCCCAGAACAGTACACTACAGAAGAAGTGAATCCAGGTCTGCATTTAGAGAGAATGAAAACGCAGAATTAGCATTAGTGAATAGGCAATACCTTAATTCTAGGGGGCAAAGACTGGGTCACCTACATATTGCACACATTGTGAAAGGATACTACATGATATCATCGCATTTTCTGCTTTCAATAGAGCAGAGTTTGGAAGGAGCAGGAGAGACAATCTGCCCCACCAGGAGAAGACATGGAGTGCAGCTTCCAAAATTCCACTCTCTCTCCTAGTGGTAGTTAATAATTTACAAATGATGTGTTGCATGCCAACAGGCACAAAGCATTGTCAATCATCTTCATTTCAGATATCCGCAATTTAAACTGAAGGGGAAGAGGGCACTAGACAATCATATTGTCTTGTAATGGTCAACCTTTGGTGCTGGAGCTGTGGACCTCAGTGTGGTACATGTAATCAGACCAGAAATGCTTTAGTGTGAAAGGTCAGTAATCATCAATAGGGATCGACCGATATTGATTTTTTAGAGCAGATACCGATATTCTGTGAACTTTCAGGCCGATAGCCGATATAATTTGCCGATATTCTGTACATTTACCATTTTGGAAAATGAAAACTATTTCTAAAGGTAAATGCACAAAATATACATGCCATGTGTAGAGGATGCAGTGTGTTTAGACCGGGGAGCTGTGTGTGTTTGTGTAGTGTGTGTGTAGTGGATGCAGTGTGTGTTTGTGTAGTGTGTGTTTGTGTAGTGTGTGTGTTGTGGATGCAATGTGTGTTTGTGTAGTGGATGCAGTGTGCATTTGTCTAGTGTGTGTAGTGGATGCAGTGTGTATTAGTGTAGTGTGTATATAAAGAAAGCAGAGTGTTTGTGTAGTGTGTGGGTAGTGTGCGTAAAGTGAATGCTGTATATACTAAATGCAAAGTGTGTGTTTGTGTAGTGTGTGTATATAATGAATGCAGAGTGTGAGTGTGTGTATAGTGAATGTAGTGTGTTTATATAATGCAGAGTGTGTGTGTTTGTATAGTGTATGGATATAATGCAGTGTGTTTGTGTAGTGTGTTTATATAATGCACACTACACAAACACACTGCATTATATACACACACTATGCAAACACACTGCATTATATACACACACTATGCAAACACACTGCATTATATACACACACTATGCAAACACACTGCATTATATACACACACTGCATTATATACATAGTGTGTTTGTGTAGTGTATGTGTATATAATGGAGTGTGTGTTTGTATAGTGTGTGTATATAATGCAGTGTGTTTGTGCAGTGTGCATTATATACACACACACACACTATACAAACACACTGCATTATATAAAAAGATATGGAAGGGCTGCGCCAAATAAGGGTAGATAGTCCAGTAAAGTATTGCTAGGGTGCCAATAGATGGTCTAGGATACTTGATAGAGTTCCTCTGTGGATGTGTCTGGTGTAGACCGTTCCGTATATGTAAATACAAGAGAGGTAGAGGCGACTAATGGTATAGTATGAAAGTTCAGGGTGTGATAGGTAACAAAAAGTAAAGAACTCACATTCAGGAGAGCTATGGCCAGCTCTGGTGTGGATTGCGTACAGCGGTATAATCCCCGCTTATGGGATATGTAGGGAGGGGTCTCCGTCAACACCGTCTGGTAGTCCAGAGCTCGAAAAAGAAAGACAGAAAGCAACAATAGTGCTCTCAATTTTGATGTGGTTCAATGTGCAGATAAGAAGAGGTAAAAAACTCACATTTGAGGGAGCTATTTCCAGCTCTGGTGTGGATAGCGTACAGCGGTATAATCCCCGCTTATAGGATATGTAGCGGCGATACGTCTGTCAGCACCGTCTGGTGTTCCAAGGCTCCAATATAGAAGAATAAAAAGCAGCAATAGTGCTCTCAATTGTGATAAGTTAAGAGAGTAGTAGAGAAAATAAAATAATACTCACAAAGATAGAGCAGAGGTACTGCTCTATGGATAGGCGCCGGTGGTATGATCCCCACCTAGGATTTCTTGGAGTACTGGAACTTTAAAATTGCCAATGGAAGTAAAAGTAACCAGGAAAGGTTAAAATGCCAGGAATAGGTAAAAACAAAAGTTGTTTAAAGAGCATAAAGAGTGCAATAAAAAGAGGATTGGTACAATAAAGTAGCCAAAAAACTTTTATTGATCTAAAATACACAGTAAAATACAGAATTAATAACCATAAGCGTGTTTCACCATAAGTGGCTTCTTCAGAATGGGATAAAAGTAGTAACCTGGCAGGGGTTGTTTAAATAGGGCTATGTTAATTTGAAAATTGCGCCAAAAGTGTAATTGGCCAATCAGAGACAATTTTTAAAATCACTTTTCAAAATTAGGATTCAAGAGTATGGGAGTGATGTTATAAAAGTATGAACTATGCACGTTCAGCCAATGCCCACTGGGTTTACCGGACTGTCCAGCATGTTGTTGGTCATCCAGGCGGCAGCTCTCTCGCTTGGTAAGGGGTTGCCCAGCCTAGGGCGGCATGGGGGGAGGCTTGGAGGTGACCACATTGGTTTCGGTATGTTGCTTAGGACTGGTCGTGGTGCTTTGGGACTTGGTGTTTTACGGCAGCGGGCAGGACGTCTGTCCGCATCTCGGTGTCTCAGCCGGTAGCGTTGTTTCCGCAGCTCGCGTCGCCTCCGTGTGAGTGGAGTAGTGCGGGATGTTTGTCTGCTTGTAGGCAGCGTCTCAGGCCTCTCCATGGTGCATGCTTGGTCTCCCTTGTCATGCGCCTGTGTGGCTTTCACTTGCCTTGCCCTGTCGAGCAGCATGGCCCAAAAGTTGTCAAATATGGCTCCCAGAGTGTTTGTTGCTGTGGCTTTAGGGCTTACGGAATCAGGCTGCAGCAGTGTCCAGCCTCGTGTTGCAGAGCTTGGTGCCTCCGCTATCTTGGATATCTCTGGCGCCATGTGGCTTGGGAGTTCTGCAGGGTTCACAGGAGCGTCTGCGCTTAAGGCAGCCTAGGTACTCGAGGACTGGGATGACCCCCACCGGTCCACAGGGAGGGGGGGAGGGGGGGAGGGAAGTGGTTTGAGAGTGCCCCTTTGTCAGCCAGAGAACCGAGAGAGCAGCCGTCTCTTCCCGGCTCCCACCTGCACAGGCCACCGGTCTCGATTTGGTCTGTCTCGCACCGGAGTCCCAAGTGACGGGTATCCCCGGGTGCAGTGCAGTCTCCTTGTCCCGAATATTGTGTTCAGCAGTCGGTGCGCTCGGGTGGTCGGGTGATAAACCCAGAATCTTAGCTTCAGACTCGGGAGCCCTCACAATGTACGTCTGGTCCGCTTAGTAGTCAGGCTCCGCCCCCCCTTCAAATCCATTTTAACCACCAATTTTACAAAAGAAACCAAACCTACTTTTAATTCCTTTATGCCCAATGCCAGTGGCTTTTATAAATGTAAAAGATGCATTGTAGGCAAAAACACAGACCCCTTCGTCCCTTCCAAAACCACCAGTTTTAAATCTAATATCACCAACAAAACCTATAAAATTAAAGATTTTATCAGTTGCGATACCAAAAATGTCATCTACTTGTTGGAGTGCCCTTGTGATCTCCAGTATGTAGGGATGACCACAAGAAGTCTTAAAGTGAGACTGAGTGAACATTGTAGAAATATCAAAAAAGGCTACCTGAATCACTCAGTCTCCAAACACTTTTGTACACATAACAACGACATAAGACACCTTAAATGCATCGGCATAAAAAAATGTATAATACCATGGAGAGGTGGTAACATTAAGAACATATTAGGTAAAGCTGAGATGGAATGGGTTTTAAATCTCAAAACTCTTACCCCATCTGGTTTAAATGTTGATTTTGACCTGTTTAATTTTATTTAAATTCCTATATACAACCCTTATCTACATGCTTTTATTCTTTATGTCTGGACCTAACCAACCCTCATAATAATAATAATCTTTTAAGTTTTATTTTTTCATCTATGCCTTTCCATTTATGTATCTTGTATTCTGTGTAATCTTTAATTTTATCTATTATTTTCATTTAACATCTGTATTATTACTCTGGGGTATAATATAACCCCTATTTAAATCATTATGTTTGGAATTATATTACCCCCTTTTCATGCATACTCCATTTACATATATCTCTGTATCTCTGTACCTTTAAACCATCTATTTTTTTTTTGGTTCTTTTAATGAACTTTAATCAAACCCTTTTTTTTTTAACTTTAATCAAACAACTTTTTTTTTTTTTCCTCCCTTTCTTTCTCTTTAAAAACAACTTTCTCACTCTAGTTTTCACATTTAAATAATTTAAATGGACTCATCACCTTTATAACATCACTCCCATACTCTTGAATCCTAATTTTGAAAAGTGATTTTAAAAATTGTCTCTAATTGGCCAATTACACTTTTGGTGCAATTTTCAAATTAACATAGCCCTATTTAAACAACCCCTGCCAGGTTACTACTTTTATCCCATTCTGAAGAAGCCACTTATGGTGAAACGCGTTTATGGTTATTAATTCTGTATTTTACTGTGTATTTTAGATCAATAAAGTTTTTTGGCTACTTTATTGTACCAATCCTCTTTTTATTGCACTCTTTATGCACTTTAAACTATTTTTTTACCTATTCCTGGCATTTTAACCTTTCCTGGTTACTTTTACTTCCATTGGCAATTTTAAAGTTCCAGTACTCCAAGAAATCCTAGGTGGGGATCATACCACCGGCACCTATCCATAGAGCAGTACCTCTGCTCTATCTTTGTGAGTATTATTTTATTTTCTCTACTACTCTCTTAACCTATCACAATTGAGAGCACTATTGCTGCTTTTATTCTTCTATATTGGAGCCTTGGATCACCAGACGGTGCTGACGGACGTATCGCCGCTACATATCCTATAAGCGGGGATTATACCGCTGTACGCTATCCACACCAGAGCTGGCCATAGCTCCCTCAAATGTGAGTTTTTTACCTCTTCTTATCTGCACATTGAACTACATCAAAATTGAGAGCACTATTGTTGCTTTCTGTCTTTCTTTTTCGAGCTCTGGACTACCAGACGGTGCTGACGGAGACCCCTCCCTACATATCCCATAAGCGGGGATTATACCGCTGTACGCAATCCACACCAGAGCTGGCCATAGCTCTCCTGAATGTGAGTTCTTTACTTTTTGTTACCTATCACACCCTGAACTTTCATACTATACCTTTAGTCGCCTCTACCTCTCTTGTATTTACATATACGGAACGGTCTACACCAGACACATCCACAGAGGAACTCTATCAAGTATCCTAGACCATCTATTGGCACCCTAGCAATACTTTACTGGACTATCTACCCTTATTTGGCGCAGCCCTTCCATATCTTTTTGTATCTATCCACCGAAGGACCCGAGGGGTTTTCCTTCATTTGGGTTGCTGCCTACCTTGACTAATTTTGTGATTACTAGCGCTGAATTCTTTTTGTGTTTACACTGCATTATATACACACACTATACAAACACACTGCATTATATACACAGTGTGTTTGTGTAGTGTATGTGTATATAATGGTGTGTGTGTGTGAGGGGGCATTTTTTATTAAATTATTATTTTTTTATATTTTTTATTTTTGTTGCCCCCTCCTCTCCCTGCTTGTTACCTGGCCAGGGAAGAAGGATATAGCATTCCCTGGTGGTCCAGTGGCATTGTTTGAACTGTGGGGAGCGGGCAGCAAGCACTTACTCACCTCCCAGCAGTTCCTCCAGCTCCCCAGTGTAAGTCTCGCGGCCAGCGTGCCGCGCGGGTCTCGCGAGAGTTACACTGGGGAGCTGGAGGAGCTGCTGGGAGGTGAGTAAGCGCTTGCTGCCGCCCCCCCCAGGACCGCCGGGTTTGTAATGAGCGGTCCTAGGAGGTATTATCGGCAAGATCGGTAACTGAATTGGCCGATACCCATATTGCCAAAAATACCGAATATCGGCCGATTATATCAGTAAAACCGATAATCGGTTGATCCCTAGTCATCAACCTTGCCCTTGATACATCATTAGATTCAAAAGAGGGGAGGAAAAAAATAAAATAAGGATGAGGTAGGTATCAGATGCCCATGAAAGCTCAAAGGAATGGAGACAGAATTTGG